TGATAAACTTTGTCAACTGAAGTAACTTTGGCTTTTATTTTGAGATTTTATCAGCTATACTAAATGCTACCAAATAATCCATTAGTAATCAGACTGATGCCTCAATCGGACTGAAAAGCCTTCATATAAACACCTCAAAAGATCTGACTGAGCTCAAGTGTAGACCTGCAATAATCCTGGCAATAGGAAAAAATAAGCATGTAAATATATGAATCTGAATATTTTGTTAATCAGATTAAAAAAATACCTAGCATACATGCGCAGTGCCATGTGTACAGTATGTTTACCTACGTTTGACATCCTTCAAACATTTATGTCTTACGAACTGGTCAGTGGAGAAGGACTGAATATTTACAAAATATTTTTTTATACTTTTTTTTACATATAGATATGTCAAGGCAAAAATTACAATTATATTCACAGTAGCTTAAGTGACATTATCATGGTGGTTTTCTCCAGTTCTGAACGTGGAATACATGTAATGAACATGTAAATGAATGAATCAGACTGCAAATTTTAGGGTGTACATAAAGAGCACTTTCGGAATGTAAAATCAGATTGGATTTCGTCGGACTGATGAAATTAGTACTGCAGCTTTATCTTTTAGTGAGATAAAGTCCTTCCTGTCACTAGGATGTTTTCCAGACGTGTCCTTTACACCAAAGTCAAACACATGCTCATAGATTGGCTGTGTTTCTCATTCAAGCCTCTCACAAAGTCATAGAAAATTCTCCATACTCTTTTCCTACCTCCTCTGGCGACATTAGCCTGAAGTTGATAGAGCGTTAAAAATGTCACTATAGCACAGCTGACAGTGAAGTCAAGAGTGTGTGTATGTGTGTGTGAGAGACACAGAAGATGCTTGACACTGCAGGGGGATCACTGATGGCCATTTTCAGTCTGTCAGTCTCACAAAGCCACACGCATACACACACTTCACCAAACAAAAGCTTGACAGCCTGTGCTTCCCGTACATGTGCAGTGTCTCAGAACTTAAATATGATTGGGGGTCTGTGATTTTAGGGCTCAGAGTCTTTCAGTAATTGCTTTGCTGTAAGGGCTAGTTGATTACGGGAAAAAATCTTGTTGAGCTGCATTTGCTGAACAACTAATCTGCATAAATCACTTTCTCTATACTGCTGGCCTGAAGTGTCACATGGAAAGTAATCTTTGATGTGCCTTTAGCTGCGAAGCTGGAAAAAAAGAAGCACGAGAAGACGATTGAGAGAGAGTTTTCATGTGTGCATGCACCGTAAAATAAAAAGGGAATTATGTTTTATCCAGCATATGTGATTTTTGAGTTGCAGATTAAGAAATGTGAATCTCTTCAACTTCTAAAACATAAAATTCCCTCTAAACTTGCCTAACAGTGTTGCCCGAACAGTTTATTATTGAGCAATGCTGCTGATTTATTAAGGGTTCCCAGCATGCATTGCATAATGAAATTATTATATGGATATTACAGAATTATTGTTGTAATGTTTGTTCCTTCTTCTTAAAGGGATAGTTCACCCAAAAAGAAAAATTCTGTCATCATTTACTTGTATTGTGCCAAACCTGTGTAAATTTTCTTGTGCAGAACACAAAAAAATATATTTCTTTTCACAGAATTTTTGGGTGAACTAGCTTTTGACTAGTTATTTGTTTTATGGCCATGTTAATGCAGTCCATCTTTTTTTCTAATGTTTGTTGATTGTCATAAAGCATTTTTGTGAAAATTGTTGAGGCCACTGTTAACTACTGCACATGCAGTAATATCTTTGCTTTGCAAAATGGTGTCTTCTTTTGGGACAAATATAAAATGAAAGCAAATACAAATCTCAAAAAGTGGCTGATTTACAATTTGTTGAACAGGAACCCTTCAGTTGTTTTGACAAGAACATATTGGCTGAATGAGAGCAATAAAATTCTAATTGTCTGAATGAAAGTAGCATTATACAGTTATTACGAATCTTATTAAAATGTCAATGCATCATGACTTTCTTGATATTTAAAGGGGTCCTATTATGCTTTTTCACTTTTTGAATTTTAGTCAGTGTGTAGTGTGTATGTTTGGGCATAAAAAAGATCTTCAAACTTACAAATCTCAAAGTCCACTCCAAAGGGAGATATTTCGTTCTTAAAAAATCCCTTTTCAAAAACTACAACGAACGGCTCGTTTGGACTACAGCGTTTGTTTTTGGGGTTTTGTGATATCACAAAGCAGCCCATTAGAATATCATTAAAATAATTCCCGCCTACGGAAATTCGAATGGTTGGGGGGTGGGGTGGGGAGGGGCGAGGTTATGGTTAGAACGCTTGGTTGAGTGAGTGCATCAGACGAGACGACGAAGAAGAAGAGCTGCTGCAGAGTTAGTGCAT